AATCTAGTCAATGACTTTGCAATAGCGTTGTCTGGGTAACAGATGGCAGCTACACTTGTGGTGAGCACAACATAATGTACAGAGAAGTAAATCACCGTGTGGTACACCTGAAACTCATGTAATGTTGTGTCTCAACTATAGACATAAAAAAGAATTTAAAGATAAAAACACTTTGCCCTCCATATGGCGATACTTTTATTTTTTCTTCTAGAATTTTTATAGTTTTAGTTTCTTATGTTTCGGTTGAAGACCCATTTCTAGTTATATTTGTGTGATTTGGGCATAGGGTCAAGGTTCATTCCCCACATGAATGGCCTGTTGTTCTAGCATGCTTTGTTTGAAAGATGTTCCTCTCTTCATTGAATTACTCTGTCAAAAATTAAATGAGCATATTGGAACCTTGCAATTTTTAATTCTATTAGAACTGAATGCTCCTATATCTGGCCAGGCTCACTACTGACCATAGAAAGTGAAGCTGATACTTGGGGGAAAGGAACCCACATGAAATATCTGTGTTTGTACACAAACAGCATGATGTTTTCTGCACTTATGGGTGACTTGCTTAATCTTTCCACAAGCTCATAGCATTACACTGTGTTTCATGTGTTTGTGATATGGGAAGGAAGATGCTTCCCCTATGCCACCTCGGTTTCTTGCAGTCTGTGTTCCTGTGGACTTCAGCTTCTGTTTGTTTCTTTGCACTGGTCTTATCAGCTTTTAGCTTAAGACTCTAGAAGATGGAAGTCATATCTGTAAATGTCATTTTGATTTGTAAAGCACTCTCAATGCCCTGAGCAAATGTGCAATGTTATCAATTGGACTGAGGTTACAGCCAATTAACTATACCTCTGTTTCCTCATCTATTTATTGTCATGAAAGCCTATCTTTATTTAATTCCATTTCATTCAGGACCACGGGCTCTTCATGTAAAGAAAGACCATCTGATAGTAGCTGGGGAAGGAGACTTGAGCATTTTAATCAGTCTGATTTGGTTCTCTTGGAGACTATTGGTGTGTGATATCTAGAACAGAACATGGCCTGGTCTCTGTTCATATCATCTATCTTTCAGATCAGTGTGTTCTGAATAGTTTTTAGATTAGCTGAAAATAAAGGAACTCTTTTGTATGCATCTATACAGTATGTGCTTGTAGGCATGGGCATGGGCATAAGCTATATCTTTAGGTCCTAGCTAGAGTTGATGGCCCCAGCCCAGAATTCTGTGCTTGCTCCCTTACTCCCAGCATTTATGAAGGAAGTACTCATCTTGATGAAAAGGGAGGGCACCCCTGCCTGGAAAGTGAAAGGAAGTGATGTCATGAAATGGCAACATGCACAGGAGCTGAGATGAAGGATATATGAATGTTGTTGCTTGACAGGCAACGAAGTGGCCCCTTGCTGCCATGGTGATGGAGTCCAGTTGATGCTAAGCATATGACCAGCTAGCTCTCATGTTTTTTATAACAGCTGGTCAGTGCCATTGCCTTCTCTGAATTGCTTCCCCCCTTAGTGGCTGTTTGGCCCCAGCTGTCCTGATCACTTTTGACAAATGGTTGTCCTTCACAGTCAAACCACTAGCAGTACTCTAAATTAATGAATGTGCTAATTATCTTTCCCTATTCCCAGCACATTTGTCTAACTAACCTGTCACATGCTATAATGCAGCATAGACATATCAGGTGGGGTCTGAGAGCAGGGATCTGGGGACATAGAGGTGGGCTCACAGCTTGGAGCTGTGGAATAGTCTAGCTAATTTAACCTTTACAACAACAAGATGTCTGGGGAATATGTTATTTCCTGTGACATGCATTTTCTTTCCTTTCCTTTCTTTAAAAAAAAAATCTTTCTTGGGTGCCTGGATGGCTCAATTGCCTAAACATCTGACTTCAGCTCAGGTCATGAGGTTCATGTGTTCCAACCCGGAGTCAGGCTTTTGGCTGGCAGCTCAGAGCCTGAAGTTTGCTTCAGATTCTGTGTGTCCCTCTGTCTCTGCCCCTCCCCCGTTTTTGCTCACACTCTTTCTCTCTTTGTGTCTCAAAAATAAAATAACATAACATTTAAAAAATATCTCTTTAGGGGCCAGGAGCCATTGATTAATTCACTAGCCTCTGAGGGGGTCACCAATCACGATGCAGAAGGACGAGGGAGTCCCAAACTCTTCCAGAAGCAGCAGAGTGGTTGAGGACCTAGACTTTGAAGCTAGACAAGCTTGGACTTGAATCCTCGTCCTGCAACCTCAGTTTCTTCCCTTGGGCAATGGGAGGAGATCCCTGTCTCCAGAGGGCTGTGTTGAGGAGCAAAAGCACAGACCTCTCAGGGTTGCGGGTCCTGTTCATGGTCTGGTCTGAGCCCTGCCAGCCCCAACTGCGGGGCACTGGAACTTCTTGTTAGTAGTGGGAAATGGAGAGCCAGCTTCTGCCCTCCCCTCCCCCGGCTCCCCTGGTGTCCATCTTTTTGTTCTGTCTCAGCAGCTCTCAATTGAGATGAATGACATTTTCAGAGGCTTCACCTCTGGTAAGTGTTCCTCCGCTGCAGCAGCCAGAATCTTAATGTGCGCACTGTAATTTAATGGCCATCTCGGCTGACTATTAAAACTCTCTTCCCCGGTAAAGTGGACTCCCTCCATCGGCACATGCTCTCCACCCTGGCAGGGTGACTCCGGGGAGCTCGGATGTAGAGGGCCCTCAAGGGAGGGGGGATTGTAGCTCCTGAACCTCCTGCTGGGGACTTCTATCTTCTTAAAGTGAAAATGGTTGGGCATTACCCACCCCCACCTCCCATCCCCCGAATCCGCACCCCCAACCCCCCACCCCACTCCAGTCCGAATTTGTGGGGCTCCTGGGCACTTGGGAAGCCAGCAGAGAAGCTGCCCTTCTTGGATTGCAGGAACCCCAGCTGGAATGATTTTCAAAGACATTGTTGGATTCTGTTCATGCTGTTTTGTGTGTGCCTGCAGTTGATGACACACACATACATACCATAAACACAAACACCCAAGCAGGAAAGAGACTAAGCTGAGCCTTAAAAACATCAGACCGTATGATAGAAACACTTCTTTAGTAAAAGGGTGTTTCAGTCTGGAATTGTAAGTAGAGGACAGTCACAGTGTGATAGGATATATATACCTGACATGCCTCCAGTCCTCCCAATCTTTCTTTAGGGGACGATATGACAACTATGGACTTCCAAGTTCTCTCATTTTCTTGCCATCTGGTTGTCCAAGGAATGATATGTGACTAGCCAGGGCCAATGAGTTCTTTGTAAGAACTTAGATGAGACTACACTACAAAGTCAGTCTTTTGTAGTGTGGAGTAAAGTGGTCTGCAGACAGAATAAAGCTGACAAACCAAGAGAAACTTGAGAAAGAAAGAGGGAATTGAAAGAAAGAGAGGACTCTTTTTGAGAGAGAGAGAGAGAGAGAGAGAGAGAGAGAATATGCTCGGTCTCCAAAGCCCAACCACAGCTCTGTTCTTTTCAGCTTCTGGTTGTTTGGGTCCTTGGATTTTTTTGAGCCAATCATTTCCCCACTCCTCACCCCTCTTACCTCCACCGTTTTTCCCCCCCAAGGTAATTTGAGCTAAATTTCCATTGTTTGCAACTGGAGTACTTTAAAAAGGGACTGGCATTCACTTCTGTGCATTATCTCTAACTTATGATGTCCCCATCATTAGAGGTGCAGACTCTTATATATGGGCCATGAGCATCTTCTGTAACTTACCAAACTTTCCCATACAAATCAGATATCATTAAGGTGAATACACAAATCTTGCTGGTGTTGAGCTCCTGAGCAGTCTTGTGACATCACGCTTGGCAGAGTGCTCCAGGTCTTCAGAAAGTACTCAGGAGTGTCCAGACTATAACTGGACTGCCCTAGTTACTGGCTTCCTTGCTTCCAATCTCTGGACACTGCCTCCATGGATGTCTGTCTCTTCTCAGCTGAATGGAGGACACTCAAGCCCACCTCTTTCATGCTACCATGTATAGTGGCTGACCTTCTCTCTCAAAGTGAGATTTTGATAAAATTTCCTCTCTGTCACTGCCAAAGAGTTTTTGGTTCTGGGCTGAAGGTTGTAGGAATCTCACATTTTCTGTATGGCCTCAGGGGGATTGCCATTTTCTAGGAGAAAGCTGTCCTGTAAAATGCTGTGTCACCACCTAGCTTCCCCAGCAGACTCCTTCTTACACCTTCTCTCTCCTCTTACCACATTGAGACCATTCCAGGAAGGTGCTTAACAATCAGCTCTGAGGGCCAGCCATGGTGTTTAATAATACTTCCTGTTCACAAGTTTCCTTAAGGGTCATAAGGAACCTCATTTCTGTTCCTTATCTAAATTTTTTGGGTTAGTGTAATCTCTTGCCCCCCCCTTTTTTGTGGAAATAGAGATGTCAGCTTCCCCCTCTTACTCTTTCATCCATATATTCACCCATCCAGGCCTTATTCTGTGGCTGTTACCCTGGGCCCTGCTGTGTGTTATGCATTCAGGGTTTTTTTCCCCCAGGAAATCAAGAAAAGGAAAACAGTACTCAAAACACAGATCTTTTTGGTGCTCTATAAATAAAACCCAAGTTTGAGGGGTTTTTTTTAAGTTTATTTTTTTAGAAAGAGAGAGAGCAAGAGTGAGTGAGTGGTACAGGGACAGAGAAAGAGAGAGAGAATCCAAGCAGGCTCCAGGTTATCAGCACAGAGCCCAAAGTGGGGTCCCCTCTCAGGAATCTAGAGATCATGACCTGAACGGAATGAAAACAAGGGTCAGACCCTCAACCCACTGAGCCACCCAGGTGCCGCTAAAACATAAGTTTTATTCTTTTCTTCCCTTTCTGCTCCTCTTCCAAGCTCTTCTTCCCCTGGCAGGTCATACTGAGCCAGGACACTTTGGTGGCTAGTTAAAAAAAAAAAAAAGAAGAAGAAGAGGAAAAAGAAGAAGTCACTGTGTAACTGATGGGACCTTCGGAAATTCTAATGATGAAAGGCAGGGCCCTCACTTCCTCTTCCTGCACAGCACGGGGTGCCAGCACATTGAGCAGTCCTTGCTGGGGAGCCCGAAGCAAACATGGACCAGGAAACAGTGGGCAATATTGTCCTGTTGGTCATCGTCACCCTCATCAGCGTGGTCCAGAACGGTAAGGGAATACCTCACTCAGAGGGAACACACAGCAGATTTTGTTTGCCAGTTGTTTGAACGTCAGAGGTTTACACTGTTCTCTGTGTCTGTGCACACTTGTACCCACCATCACCTTATTTGTATTTGTTTCTTTTTCTTTGAATGGATAAGATATATGCATTTATGTATGACTTTGGGGGTTTTCCTTCTGGTATTTCTTTCACTTTAATGTTGGTGACTAACCATGTTTGCAGAGCCGGGGCAGCAACCTAAGAGCTTTATATAATAATTCTTGTTGAAGTGTTTGCTTAACTATTAATTACTATGGATAGAGACGGGATGGGAGGCAAGAAGCCCAGAAAGGGAAAGGGAAATACATACTGACTCAACACACTGGGCTTTTGTTAAGGGCAGCTGGTTGACTTCAGTGAAAGTGATGTTACCTGTCACCGGTAAGTGAGAAGAAAAAAAGATTTTTGGACAGTGGGAGGGAGAAATCACCTTACTCTTACTATATCTCTGTATTGCTTCTTTTTTCTTTTGAAGAAAGAGATTCTTTGTGTATTTCTTTTTTCCTGGCAATGTATAATTTTGAAGCATTTTTCATATGCATATTAACATACAGAGGGAGAGGACACATTTTTCTTCTTGTGGGGTTTGCATTTCCATTAACCTTTCTATCTCTTAAGAAAACCGAGCAAGGAAAAAAGAAAAATGCAAACTACGCAGACCTCAGAAAGACAAGACCATGTAGAATTTTCTTTTTAAAGCTCTGGGTTAGGACTGCCACAGATTCTTTTTCTAAGTATTTCCAGTGGCTTTGTGTTTCATGGTTTATTAAGATAGAGAAAAAATGAAAGTAATTACCAAGGGTAGCTGCTATAACTTAATGGTAACTATTACATGTTCACACACTGTCATCATACGTTGGAAATTTGAATGTTTAACCAATTTGGGATACTGTTATTTCCCCCCAACTTGAACCTGGCCAGAGAGGCTGAGAATTAGCCTTCTGAGCCCTGTAGTTCTTCCCTGAGACCTCCCCACACCAGAAAGACCTACCTTTGCATCTTCTGAGTATTTTTCAGAACAACATTTGGCCACTTTTTGACCCAAATATTTTCGTACTAAATTCACACATATATTGCAGCTCAGAGAGGGAACAGATGGATTGTTTAGACGGCTATTCCTCCAGCCATTGCTATTTCATGCAGGTATCATGAGCTCCCTTGGCCTTGCAATCAGCAAGGGTTTCATTTATTCAACGTGTAGACACCTGCAGGGACCCCTTTGAGATGGTCAATGTCCCAGCTTTATGGGGATATAGCTGTGGGGTGGGTCTCCTGGGAAAAGAAAGGATAGGGAGAAGAGATGATCTGACAAGGTCAGTAAGAAGGCTTCAAAGACCCTTCTGGTGTTTGTGGACACTTGCATGGGTGACTGAGTGGGCGGTCCTCCCCAGCTCTGTGTAGGGTCTCCCCTCTGGCCCTTCCCCTTGTGAATGTCAGTGTAGCTGACAAGTATCAGTGGACAGAGGAACCAGTACCTTGTCACTGGCCTGTGTGGTTGGGGCTAAGCTAGCTGAAGGGCTGAAGATCACCCTGAAGTGCTCCCTCTCAGTTCAAAGCCGAGCTGCGGGAGGCTGCACAGTCTCCTGTTGTGAGAATAGAGTCTCTTCATCTCTCCTAAGATGAGATGCAGAACCTGGTCTTGGCCTGTCAAGTGGGTCCTGGGCCTTTCCCTTAGTGGTAGAGCAAGCCCTGATCAGACATGAGGGGTATAGTGAAGTTCCTAATTATTTTTGGCAGATGAGTTAAGTCTTCTTCTTTTTTACAGTGTGGATGGAAAGATGATAGCAAGGCAAAGGCCTGAGTTGTAACAACCACAGTGTAAGGGCCCTGACTTTTGAAAGGTCATTTTGGATAGATAGTGACACAATCCAGTGGCCTCACTAATAGAGTTCCAGCCACTGACGAGTGGGATGGAAGCTTCCTAGTGAGAGATATAAACATGGACCACAGTGGAGCTACTGTTTGGGGCTGGAGGCTTCTTCAGGCTGGGCACACCCTACATGGTCGCCACATCATGGCCTCTGACCTCCCAGCCCCTTGTGAGCAGCTAGGGTAACTTGGGGCAGAATGACTTTGCACAATGATGTTGCCCCCGTGCTTGGAGGAAGGACAGACTGTTGTTCTTTTGAAGCCACAGAAGCAATCCCTCAATGCTTTCCCTCTGAGGCAGAGACCCCGACTGCCATGTGATGTGGAGACTCCCGTGTGAGGCCTTTTTGTAACTGCTAAATATGCCCGTGTCAGGGAACAAGAAAAATTCAAATGACTCAGGAAAGAACATCTGTACTCACTTACACCGTGAGTTTCCAGGCAAACACAAAGGTTCAAGTCCGCGTCCAGAGCCTCTCTTTGCAATTCTAATTAGCCCCGACGTTGCAACCATAGGTCTTCCTTAGAGAGCTCAGAATATATGCAAAAGCTGTACCTTTCTCCCCCTGCCCTGCCAAATGCCATTTCAAACCCTTCTTCTGAGTTTTAAGAAATATTTACATGCTGTTGCCAGGCACTGTATACTTGGTCTTTGTCCCGAGACAAAGAGGTCCCGTCCGCATGTGTGCATGATGGTGTCCAGGGTTATGCTCTCTGTACACTGTGTGAGAACCTCATTTCCCAGAAAGAGGCCAGAGCCCAGCTTGCCTGCTGGAACTTCCTCCTCTGACCCTTAAACATTGTTTAGTCATCAGATCTTTGAAGTTGTGGCTCTCTTCCAGCTCGATCCAGCTAAAACACAGATCTGGAAGCACAGAGCAAGTTTAAAATACATCATTCCAAGAAAGCTGGGCCAGAACCACCAAAGCCTGGTTTCCCAGGAAGTACAGATAGAAGCATTTCCCATAAATAGCATCTTGAGCCTCCAGCCTCTCCTGCCAATGTACCAGCAGTGTTGACATGCAGCAAACCTAAGAAACACAGGTTTAGAGAAAGTGAGTTCCATAAGAAACCAGACTAATTAGATTGAGAGGAGACGTTGAGCTGAGGGGAATGGGCACCGAGGCTGTGTATGGGAACCCAAAGAGGAGCAACAGAGAAAAAGTGTCCTCCAGTGGAAGAACAACTCCTACAGTCTTTCTGGGCATTGGGAAAGGTGGTGGGAATTGGCATCTTCTCTTGCCTCAACTCTCTTCTTGCTGTGAAGCAAGGAAGGTAGACATGATGGCCTTGCACTCAAAGGGTTTCTGAGAATAAGATGAGGAGGGATAGAGAGCTAGTAGGGAGCTTCTACCTTTCCATGCCATCCCTGGTACTCCCACCCCAACATGCACACTCAAAGTGAATCTCATTTGCACCATTTTGGAAGATCTAACAACAAACTTAGGGTTAAATGGGCTCTAGAAACAGGACCCATGTCGCACCCCAAAGCGAAAATCATATTTACACCATTCTTAGCAGCTCCTGCCTGAACCCTCTGGAGATGGAGAGCTCACAACCTACTGAGATCGCCCTTCTCATTGGAAGTTTGCTTTGTTTCAAGCACAGAGCTTTGTATTGGGCATAATATTATTTCACTGAATCTCTCCGACCTGTGAATTATGTGTGTGTCTGTCTGTCTGTATATATATATACATGTAATTAGTTCTATTTTACAGATAAACAAAGTGGGGCTTGGAAAGGCTAGAACAATGGTTGAACTGAGATTCAAACCAATTCTAAAATGTAGACACTTATGCTATGTATATTGTCTCAATTTCATTTATTTAAAAGCTCCTTACTCAAGAAGTTCTTTCCTATGTGTGCTGAAATCTGCTGCCCTATAATTTCTATGCACTGGTTTTGTTTCTATTCTTTGGAAAATTCTGTACTATCCTGGTGGCTTCTAGGTTTACAGAGTCAGCTATAGCATCTTGTCATCAATGTATCATTTCTTTTGTGACTTGGTTTCCAGTGTCCCTTGTCATTGGTTATACCCTCCCACCATTCTTGCCCCGAGCTTTTCTAAGATGCAGGTAGACACTCTGCCGGGAAACTCACTGTTCCTGAGACCCAGACATCAATTCTATTAAGATAATCATGGGAGTATTATTCCTTTGAACACTCATATTGCATGGCTGGCTCTTAGTAACTTTGTGCCTAACTAAAATCTCAAGATTTTTTATGTGATCCTGAGAGAATTGTTTGGCTTCTCTGACTCTCAGCTTCCTCAACTTAAAAGTGGGGCTAAGAAAACTTCCTTAAGTGTCTGTTGAATATATTGCACAGAGGGGTGTCTGGGTGGCTCAGCTGGTCAAGCGTCCAGCCTTTGATCTCAGCTCAGGTCTTGATCTCAGGGCTGTGAGTTCAGGCCCCACACTGCGCATGAAGCCTACTTAAAAAACAAACAAATAAACAAACAAACAAAACAAAACTGCCAAGAATTATCCAGGAAAGTAGCTTCTAGTGCCCAGCATACGGTGTGTGCTCCATAATGGTCTGCAGCCTTTTGTCTCTGTCTCTCTGGCTCTGGCACTCTCTCTCCAGTTTGGCCTACTGTCAACAGGTAGCCAAGATAAGTGTGTCAATGGTCTTTGCACCTAAGGTTTCTGTAACATGATGGAAAATAACCCAGGGGTGGAGCATGAATGGATGGTGAGGAGTGGGCAAAGGAAGCAAAATTCTTTCAAGTTTAGCTAAGAAGGAGGGAGACGTAAAGCATCATAGACTGGGGCAGGTTTGGTTTTCTGTTTGTTGGGTAAGAAAGATCTGAGTATGTTTCTAGGGTCAAGAGAAAGAGGGAAAAGGAGAAGGAAGGTTCAGGAACTGGAGAGAACACTGATGAGACAAAGGCCTAGAGAGGCAGGAGGAATGGAGTCAAGGTCACAGGTAGAGAGCAAGCCTTGGAAAAGAGGAAGGAGTCTGTCTCTCTGAGCAAGGAGAGGAAGAAGAAAGGCAGGTGCAAAGGACAGCCACGTTGTACTGCTGACTGCTGGTGGCAGAAATCACCTCTGACTTTCTTAATGCTGTCTCTGCTACATGTTCAAAGGTGAGGGCCATCCCCTTATGTTCTGGGAAGGCAGTGAGCAGAATTTCCTACTGTCCTTTGTGCTAAGAAGAGACTGTCAGAGCAGACAGATGTGTATTTAAACCCAGTGTACCTGATGGGATCCCTTCGGTGAGCTTCAATGTGACAGCAACAAGGGAAAACATCCTCATCTGCCTCCTTAGATTTGAACCCCTAGCTTCACTGCTCACCAGTGGTGTGACTCTGAGAAAACCATCCAACCTCTCTGAGACACTGGGGCCTTGTCTACATAGTGGAGACAGCATGGCCAGCTTGGCAGAGTTGGCACAAGGCCCAGGGAGGGAAGAGATGTCAGGTTTCTGCTGAAGGGCCCAAAGTGGGGGTGACACCCCCTTCTTACAAGCAACCCTGTGGCTACCAGTGACCTTGCTTCAGACAGACACATTGCTGGTGGAGGGCTATGCTTTTGCCCAAAAGAAAACATGAATACATGGCTGATAAGGCATCCATTTCACATCTTTCTGAGGAGGTTCATATGAAGCTGATGAAAAGGAATCTCACAGGGACCCCTAATATTCAGGAAACAAAAGTAGAGGAGTAAAACAGGAGTGGAGGGGAGAAAGACCTTCATTCTTCCCCCATCCCCCTCTCCTATCTAGAGACAAACTCTTGAGATTCTGGCTCCTCAGCATCCCACATAGCCCACCGCCTCACCTTACTGGGCTCCCTATCTTCCTGCTTCCCGTCCTGGGGGTGACCCCTTCAGACACTCCCCATGCAGAAGACAGAGTGGCTTTCATTACAGCAACTGCTCAGCTTATCCCTGCTAATGTGACTCTTTGTTGCTCATGAGATGGGAACAAATTCTGATTTTCTTACTGAGGCTCACAAAGGTCACAGTCACACGGTCAAATCCGGTAGGCACTTCTCAACTCTCCTCTAAGCTTGGGCTCTCTCAGTGCTTTTTCGCTCTTTCCACCGTGTGAGTACTGCACAGGGTCCCTCACCATGCTCCGCGTCCTCTTCCACCCACAGTGCAACACACTGTATAATTCTCATCTAAGTGTTTCTTTCACGGTATATGGTCTGCCTCCTCCTCTTCCACCCTCACTAGAACAGAAGCTCCTCAGGCCAATGATCTTCATGTGTTTCATTCTCAGAGGCAAGATAAGTGTCTAGCACGTGGCAAGCCACAAAGGGAAACGTCTTTCACAGAACAATACACCATCTACCTCTTTCGTTTCCTTTGTAATTCTGCTGGTTTCTACTGTCTACTCCTTATTTCCCCCAGCAGAAGCTGGACATACCAAATGAAGACAGTTCTTGCCTCTGCACTTTTGCCTTTTCCATTCCACATCAGTGGGGTGGTCACTTCTGTGGTCCCCTGCCCCTTCCCTCTATGTGGCTAATTCCTACATGTTCTGCAGATCTTATCCTGGATGATACCTCTTCTAGGATTCCTCCATGATCCCAACATTCTATTATGTTTACCTATTATACTGTACTCTATTATTATACTCTACCCAACACTTTATTATAGTTGTCTTTGGACCCTGGATGGCTCTGTGTTCTCACTCAGCTTCCTCTTAACATGAGTCACTAGACTGCAGTTTCTGCTCTCCTTGTTTGTCTAGTTACTTCAACTATGAGATCCAAAGTGGAGACCATGCTTTGCTAACCATCACATCACCATCACCAAGTGCAGTAGTTAGTAGAGAGAGCTGCCGAATGAATTTTTGGCAAATGATATTTTCTAGAAGACATTTAGGGCTGTTTGGAGGGCACAGAGAGGGACATTTAATATCTTACTAAAAAAATGGGACAACAGGCTCATGATCGTGCCCATGATAAACCAGATCCAAACCTTTCCATCTGCCAGGGTTCTTTGCTCACAAGGTGGAGCATGAAAGCAAGACACAGAATGGGCGGAGCTTCCAGAGGACCGGGACGCTTGCCTTTGAACGTGTCTACACTGCCAAGTGAGTCCAAACCCTGATATTGCAAACTAGCAGAGTGGGGCCCTGGGTAAGGGGGGGGGGCTCCCTACTGGAGTGAACACCACCCTCGAGGGTCTCTGGGTCAACCTTCGGATGCCAGTAAGGCAGAGCTCCCAAGAAGGATTAAACCTCAGCTGGGTGGTGGGGTGCTTTGGGGGAGTCATTGATCATCCTTATATGTCATCCTTAAAGAAAGAAAGGAATTGGGGACAGTGGGGTTGGGAGTGGGGACATGTGCAATCACTACAGCTCCCCGTTTGCTCCAGAAACTTCTGAGCCAGTCATATAGTCACAGCGTTACTGATTTCCTGGGGAATTAGTCCAAAGGCACTAACACGAAAACCAGCCATTACTCATTGGCTGGCTTTGGAAGCAGCAGAAGGGATGTGAAGGTGGCAGTCTTCAGCTCACTGCCCCTTACGTCCCTGTGGTGGACTCTGGAGGTGTGCCAAGGCCTTTCGTAAATGCCTCCTCTCCTTGAGCAACTAGAACAGAAGAGGAAGAACGGGGGAGCTGTGCAATTCCTCCCTCCCCACCCCCATTTCTTTACTCCTGATTAAAAAAGCTGTTTGAAAACACTTGAGCAGCTCAGCGAAGGAGATGGGAGCTATTTGGGATGCAAATCTGAATGGATATTATTCAAACACTCATTTTTCCTTATGCAGAATGTATTTGAACAGCAGTGTCAGGCAGTGACCTGTCTGCTTCTTTGTGCCTATGTACCTGTCGGGGAAAAGTCTTTGAATGTGAGTGAGCCTAGGAGCTGGCCTTCAGTCTCAATTCTCAGGTGGCTCTGATGGCCACAGAGATCTTTCCAAAGGGGTGTTCATGGATACCCAAAGAGATTGTCACAGGCTGATATCCGAGGTCCATCACCCTGTTTGGACCCTTTACCATTTGTGCTTAGGGCTTCAGGCTGCTCCAAAGTGCTTGATATCCCTCCAAGACCTCCCCTTCACTCGGGTCCTCACAACCTGCTCTGGGTCCCCTTCACTCATACTAAGCAGTCCTGAGCAGGGTAATTCCAGCAGTCTGGTCTCAAGGAAATTTTTGGCTAAACTATCTACAGGGACATTTCTATTTTAACATTTGGACCGTCAGTGTATTAATTCTGGTTTTGTTTTTTTTTTTACAAATAGTTTATTGTCAAATTAGTTTCCACATAACACCCAGTGCTCATCCCCACAAGTGCCCTCCTCCATGCCCATCCCCCTTCCCCCCACATCCATCAGTCCTCAGTTTTTGTCAGCATTCAAGAGTCTCTCATGGTTTGCCTCTCTCCCTTTCCCCCACCATTTCCGCCCTTCTTCTCCCCCTTGTTCCTCCATCAAGTTCCTCCTATTCCTCCTATACGTGCACACATATGATATTTGTCCTTCTCTGCCTGACTTATTTCGCTCAGCATAACACCCTCAAGGTCCATCCATGTTGCTACACATGGCCAGATTTCATTGTTTCTCATTGCCATGTAGTATTCCATGGTATAGATAAACCACATCTTTTTGATCCATTCTTCTTTTGATGGACACTTTGTCTCTTTCCATGTTTTTGCTATTGTTGATAGTGCTGCTATGAACATTGGGGTACATGTGCTCCTATGCCTCAGCATTTCTGTATCCCTTGGGTAAATTCCTAGCAGTGCTATTGCTGGGTCCTAGGGGAGTTCTATTGTTAGTTTCCTGAGGAACCTCCACACTGTTTTCCAGAGGGGCTGTACCAGTTTACATCCCCACCAACAGTGTAGGAGGGTGCCCGTTTGTCAGTGTATTAATTCTTAAAATCAACTGAAAAAGTAAAGATATAGTTTAAGCCACTTTAGACATTTACACTTAAAGGAGGGTCAGGAACAAAGTAGGTGCAGTTTGCAGGGGGGAGACATGAGAATACTTCTCAGACACCTTAGGTGCAAGAGGTATGAAGAAGGTGTCTTTGATCAGGGCCGACACCAAATACTCTCTGAAAATAACCTGAAGGAAACATTAATGCTATTTTACTATTTTGGAAAGAGAAGCCTCTTTCTGCCCAGATCTCCGTGTTATCAGCAGTTACAGTCAGAGCATCCTCTCTGGAGAAGTAAGACATGGCAGCCAGCGTGTGGAGTTTGGCACACCTTGGGAGAGGTCCAGTTTCCATTTTGCCTTCAATGAAGATGACATGGAAGAGACCAGGCCGTCCAGTTTCTGCCATGTCCCCCAGGAGGGGGCTGGCTCTGCACTTAAGAAATGACTGTGCTCACACCTGGCCCCAGGGCTGGCCTCCAAATTGCAGAAGTGACATTTGGCAGAGGTGGTTTGGAAGCTCTGCAATGCTGTGGGGTCTGTGAGGGAAGCAGGTGCCAGAGGAAAGTGGCTGGACATCCTTGCCGTGCTGGGGGTTGCGCGGCCCAGCTTCCCAAACTCATGTGTCCATACTTCACCTCCGCAAGAGGAGAGCCAGGGTCTGTAGAGTTGTAGCAACTAAGGAGGAGAAAAGGAGAATCTTCTGGAAGATGGAGGTTGCCCAGACACTGCTGTGGTTCTGTTACAAAGACCACTTCCTCCCTGACCCAGCTGACAGCACTCTGTGTGCTTCTGGTGGTTTGTTGAATTGTACTGCTGCATGCTGGCAAAGCCCAGCAGTGCCAGTGTGCGTGCAATTGCCAGGAAGCTATGGACAAGGGGTCCTAGGTCAGGCGGGTAGAGATTCTTTTCTGGCAGTAGCTTGTCTAGGGGCACCCAAAAGCACCAAAGAAGGTGCAGGCTGAGGCTTGAATGTGCAAAAAGAAAAAACAGGAATTTACTCTTGTTATCTAAAAAATAAGAAATTAAGCTTTACTTATTTTTAATATACATGTTGAGAGTGGTGTGTGAATTATCCCTGTCACAGAGTTGCGTGATAAAATTTTCTGGTTGATGGGGTGTGAGATCATAAATGTTTCCAGACCATGGTTGTAAAGAAAAACTAGCTTAAAGGATAAATGGTGCTGGTGAATTGAAAAGACCAATGCAGATTTTTCAGGATAAAATATGCCTGCTGAGTGGTTCAAGATTAAGGGGCAGTTGATAACCAGGTGTGGCAGCTGGAAGTGGCCATCAGCTCCAACATGGCCTTGGTAAATGGTCTGTCCCATCACCCACCTCCCACGAGGGCAGGGCCGAGTCGGGGTTTGAGAGATATAAAGAATCTTGATCTTGACTCTTCCTGTGAGCAAAGCATAGTTCAAAGTTGTGTTCCCACATGATGAGCACAGCTAGGACACAGTTAGTTTTCTGGAGAAATATCTCAGTTAAACTGACCTAAGATTCTTCCTTATAATGCCAGTAAGCACAGGTTGCATAGAGGAGCTGGGTCTCTGGACAAACATAATTTCCTACATATGTTCCATAGATTACAAGTCGGTGGGCTTGTAATAGGTATGACAGAGGAGAGCAAGTTCTGTAAAACAAGGCTTTTGAGAACTTTTAATGTACTGAGGAACACTGTGATCCTTGGTTCTCCAAGAGGGGGAAGTCTTTTTTAACTACAAATACACCTCTCTCTGTCTGTTTTTGGGCAGAGCATATCCAGGGTTAAGTGTTTCACAAAATGCATTTTTTTGGAAAATGTCACCCTAATGCCCCTTCTCCCCTGCACCTCTCAAAATCCACATTATTTATTAATTAAAAAAAAATTTTTAACCTTTATTTATTTTTGAAAGAGAGAGAGTATGAGTGGGGGAGGAGCAGAAAGAGAGAGGGAGACAGAATCTGAAACAGACTCCAAGCTCTGAGATATCAGCACAGAACCTGATGCAGGGCTGGGGCCCAGGAACCACAAGATCATGACCTGAGCTGAAGTCAGACGCTTAACTGACTGAGCCACCTAGGCACCCCTGAGAATCCACTTTAGATTCACTTCTAAGTAGAGTGGATTTGTAAATAATTTGAAGCTAATAGATCTGCATTGATTCTATCAATTAGTATTGCTACTGTTACTATTATTAGCGATAATTTACTTGTTTTATGTTAATCCAAACTAACAAAACACATATAAGTTCTCTTGTACTTATTCCCAAAGGTGGAGAAAAACAGAAGGGAAAACACAAATCCTTTTCCGCATGAACACATTGGTAGTATAAGTGCATCAAATTAAACGCAGCACAGTGAATTGTTGACAAATCCGGCAAGCAGCTCAGAATGAGACCTGGGAAAATGAGCACCAAGATGGGTTGGTCAATTCTGTCTCACAGAATGGCACACAACTCTCCACAAAAGAAAATCTGGAATAATAATAATTTGTCAGTGGGAAAGACATTTCCACTGGGTATTGTAAGAAGGAAGACATTGGAGCAATACTAACCATGGCTTACTGAATGCTTGTGATGAACTGGGCTAATTTTATTTTCACAAGCCAGGGCAGTAATTACTCAGGTCTCCATTCACCTCCTATAGATGAGGAAAATTGAGACCCAGTGAAGCTGGGAACTGCACCCATACTCACACAGTGGCAGACTGGGCATCAGACCCAAGCCTTGTGCCTTTAAAGACCATGTGAGCATCCATGAGGCTCCAGCTCCGGAGACAGCCTTGTCACTGACCATCACTACTTGATTTCAGCCCAGTAGTGGCTCTCTGTCAAGGAGGGACATATGCACGTGGAGCTGTGGATAGAAGGGTCAGAGATACTGGATTGGAAAAGGACTGGCTTGAGCTAGATCAAGGGACAGGAGCTGGGAGTTTCATTCCAATCCAGACAAACTATGATTTCTTAGGGACCCAGGTGACTTGAGACAATAGGCAGGAATGATCGAATGACTGATCCAATGTCACATTACTGTACTGTTCTTTTTAATGAGCAAACCCCTTATATAATTAAACATTTTAAAAAACTGCATTACCCAGCCCAAACCAGTACTTGAAAACAAAAACAGAAGCATGAGATTGAAGACGATGCAGGGGCAATCTTTGATATTAATAGATTTTCAAACTGTTGGAGCCTCAGGTATTAGATCCCATCAAACAAAA